CTAGCAGATGATGTAATGGTTACATCGCTAGACTCCCACATAGTCAACCATGGTTCAAGTCCTGGACCCGGTGACTTAAAACTCACGCCAGGCACATGTACGTGCATGCACAAGAACCCAAGAGGATAATGGAGGAGAAGGGATTGCAGTGAGGCCATCCCCCCTGGGAGGAATGATTTCTCGCTTTCTGTCTCTCTGTCTCCCTCTGTCTCTCTGGTGAGAAGATGCTCCCTATAGCAAAAATCTCTCTCTAAAATTTTATTTTTTTATTTTTTTATGTATGTGTAGTCAGCAGTAGGGATACATCTGAGAAATATGTCGTCAGATGATTTCGTCATTGTGTGACTATCGCAGAGTGTACTAACACAAATGTAGATGGCATAACCTACTACATGCTTAGGCTATATGGTGTATAAAACCTTATGGAACCAGAGTCAGCAAGTGGTGTGGTGGTTAGGGGTGCTGGACTCTCACATGGCCAACCATAGTTCAAGTCCTGGACCTGGTCCCTTGCTTGCTATCTCTCTCTCTCTCACTGTCTGTCTCTGGTCAAAATTGAAAAATAATGATAATAAATAAATAATTCTTTTAAAAAAGGAAATTAAAAAAAGAACCTTATGGGACCATTGTCGTATATGTTGTCTGTCTTTGACCAAATGTTCTTACACAGTACGTGACTGTATTTACCTGGAGAGAGGGACAAGACTGGCTAGAACAGAGTGAGGAAAAGAACACACCAAAGCTAAGGTAGAGGGAAAGCCAGACCATAGGGCCTGATCGGTCATGGAAAGTTTTGGATTTTCTTATCAATAAAGGAAGAAACCAGGCTAATTTTTTTGGTCTCTGATTTGTTTGTTTTTCAGTTTTGTTATAGGGCATGTGTGCTTGCCAGAGAGAGAGAGACAGGGGAGGGGAGTGAGAAATCATACCCCTGGGGTGGGGGTGGGGAGGATGGCCACACCTCAAACCCTTCTCCTCCAGTATCCCCTCAGGATTTAGGACACTCGTGCACACATTTCTGGCTTGATTTTCAAGCTGCCAGATCTGGGGCTTGAATATGGTCGGCCATGTGGAAATCTAGCACCTTATCCACCACACCACCTGCTGGCCCTCAATTCTGGATATATTTTAAAGAACGAGTAGAGAAGATGGTGCTTTAGAAGTGGCACCGAAGACTGCTACTACTCACACGGCATCTTTGTACGAGTTAGACAAAGGATACGGGTAGCTGCTTTCTAGCTGATGCCTGAAAACCTAATGATCCCTATGTGTGGGTGAGCAATATGTCCCTTTCTCTCAGCACACACATCCCTTGAAATGTGAGTGAGGGCTATTTTTCAGCACCTGCTTGCCCTTATTCAGGGCTCCAGCCCAGGCTTAAGAGGAAGGAAAATGAGGATGGTGCCAGGATTCAGGCCTGAGAACTAGCAGAACAAAGTTCTCATTTACTGAGATGGGAAGGCTACAGATGCAGCCCGTTGTAGGAGGGAAATTAAGAATTCAGTTCGAGATGTCTCCTAGACATTCAAGTGGAAATACCAATAAGGAGCTAGATATATAAAGTAATGGGAGAAGCTAGGACTGGGATATAAATTTGGGATTCATCAGCATGAGTTATTATACACATGTTATATATAATACATATGTTTAGTACATAATGCAATTACCAATTAACAAAAATAATAGAATGAGAAAGTTTCTTCAAAATATCTCTCGGGCCAACAAGTGGCTTGGAGGTTAGGATGGCTGGGTCCTTCATGGTCAACTGCACAGTTCAAGTCCCAGGTCTGCTGGCTTGAAATCACACTGGGCACATGTGTGTATACCTCAAATCCCAAGAGAAGGGAGGAAAAGGGATTGCAGTGTGGCCATCCCACCTGGAGATGATTTCTCACTTTCCCTCTCTCTGTCTCTCTCTCTCTTTCCAACATGCTCTGTGACAAAAAAATACATACATATTTTGGAGAGGTTTTTGCTATAGGGCACATGCGCTCGCCAGAAAGACAAAGAGAGACAGAGAGACAGAAAGTGAGAAATCATCCCCCGGGGGGATGGCCACACCCCAATCCCTTCTCCTCCATGTTTCTCTCAGGATCTTGGGCATGCACGCACACGCACCCGGCGTGAGTTTAAGCCACCAGATCCAGAACTAGAACCACAGTCGACTACATGGGAGTCCAGTGACATAGCCATTACGCCAGCTGCTGGTCCCTAAAAAAAAAAAAAAATTTTAATTAAAAAAATGAATCTCTCAGGACCAGCAGATGGCATATCACTGGTAGTTCTTTTGTATTCTTCTAAAAGTTCACTATAAATGTCGGGACCAGCAGTTAGCGTAATGGCTATGTCGCTGGATTTCCATGTAGTT